GTCCTAACACAGAAACAATAATGATACTTGCTAGATCAAAGTCCTAACACAGAAACAATGATACTTGCTAGATCAAAGTCCTAACACAGGAACAACAATGATACTTGCTAGATCAAAGTCCTAACACAGAAACAACAATAATACTTGCTAGATCAAAGTCCTAACACAGAAACAATAATGATACTTGGTAGATCAAAGTCCTAACACAGAAACAATAATGATACTTGCTAGATCAAAGTCCTAACACAGAAACAATAATGATACTTGCTAGATCAAAGTCCTAACACAGAAACAATAATGATACTTGCTAGATCAAAGTCCTTACATAGAAACAATAATGATACTTGCTAGATCAAAGTCCTAACACAGAAACAATAATGATACTTGCTAGATCAAAGTCCTAACACAGAAACAATAATGATACTTGCTAGATCAAAGTCCTAACACAGAAACAATAATGATACTTGCTAGATCAAAGTCCTAACACAGAAAAAATAATGATACTTGCTAGATCAAAGTCCTTACATAGAAACAATAATGATACTTGCTAGATCAAAGTCCTAACACAGAAACAATAATGATACTTGCTAGATCAAAGTCCTAACACAGAAACTGTACACACACACTTGGTGAACGGTAACACAGGAGCAGAGATCAACAAGAAAAACAAAGTTGCCAGAGACTTGAGAAGACCACTGGTCTAGCAGGGATCACACCTTCATGACTTGGTGGGTCCAGGGATCACACCTTCATGACTTGGTGGCTTCAGGGATCACACCTTCATGACTTGGTGGGTCCAGGGATCACACCTTCATGACTTGGTGGGTCCAGGGATCACACCTTCATGACTTGGTGGGTCCAGGGATCACATCTTCATGACTTGGTGGGTCCAGGAATCATGCCTGGGTGACTTAGTGGGTCTAGGGATCACACCTTCATGACTTGGTGGGTCCAGGTATCACACCTTCATGACTTGGTGAGTCCAGGGATCATGCCTGGGTGACTTAGTGGGTCTAGGGATCACACCTTCATGACTTGGTGGGTCTAGGGATCACACCTTCATGACTTGGTGGGTCTAGGGATCATGCCTGGGTGACTTAGTGGGTCTAGGGATCACACCTTCATGACTTGGTGGGTCTAGGGATCACACCTTCATGACTTGGTGGGTCTAGGGATCACACCTTCATGACTTGGTGGGTCTAGGGATCACACCTTCATGACATAGTGGGTCCAGGGATTATGCCTGGGTGACTCAGTGGGTCCTATATTTTCAGAAATATGTGCATGTCCAGGGTCACGTGAAACAGATAAGACCACTTAATCAAGCAGTAAGAACTTGAGTAATTAGACAGCAGCAAGACTGACCAACTGTAGACTCTTTTTTAACTAAGTAAATACTGGGCACAACTGGCCCAATGTAGACTCAAAAACAATCTTTTAATCTAAGTAAATACTGGGCACAACTGTAGACTCAAAGACAATCTTTTAATTTAAGTAAATAATGGGCACAACTGTAGACTCAAAGATCATCTTTTAATCTAAGTAAATACTGGGCACAACTGGCCCAATGTAGACTCAAAAACAATCTTTTAATCTAAGTAAATAATGGGCACAACTGTAGACTCAAAGACCATCTTTTAATCTAAGTAAATACTGGGCACAACTGGCCGACTGTAGACTCAAAGATCATCTTTTAATCTAAGTAAATACTGGGCACAACTGGCCAACTGTAGACTCAAAGACAATCTTTTAATCTAAGTAAATACTAGGCACAACTGTAGACTCAAAGACCATCTTTTAATCTAAGTAAATACTGGGCACAACTGGCCAACTGTAGACTCAAAGATCATCTTTTAATCTAAGTAAATACTGGGCACAACTGCAGACTCAAAGACCATCTTTTAATCTAAGTAAATACTGGGCACAACTGGCCAACCGTAGACTCAAAGACAATCTTTTAATCTAAGTAAATACTGGACACAACTGGCCAACTGTAGACTCAAAGACAATCTTTTAATCTAAGTAAATACTGGGCACAACTGGCCAACTGTAGACTCAAAGACCATCTTTTAATCTAAGTAAATACTGGGCACAACTGGCCGACTGTAGACTCAAAGATCATCTTTTAATCTAAGTAAATACTGGGCACAACTGGCCAACCGTAGACTCAAAGACCATCTTTTAATCTAAGTAAATACTGGGCACAACTGGCCAAATGTAGACTCAAAGACAAACTTTTAATCTAAGTAAATACTGGGCACAACTGTAGACTCGAAGACCATCTTTTAATCTAAGTAAATACTGGGCACAACTGGCCAACCGTAGACTCAAAGACCATCTTTTAATCTAAGTAAATACTGGGCACAACTGCAGACTCAAAGACCATCTTTTAATCTAAGTAAATACTGGACACAACTGGCCAACTGTAGACTCAAAGACAATCTTTTAATCTAAGTAAATACTGGGCACAACTGGCCAACTGTAGACTCAAAGACCATCTTTTAATCTAAGTAAATACTGGGCACAACTGGCCGACTGTAGACTCAAAGATCATCTTTTAATCTAAGTAAATACTGGGCACAACTGGCCAACCATAGACTCAAAGACCATCTTTTAATCTAAGTAAATACTGGGCACAACTGGCCAACCGTAGACTCAAAGACTATCTTTTAATCTTAGTAAATACTGGGCACAACTGGCCAAATGTAGACTCAAAGACAAACTTTTAATCTAAGTAAATACTGGGCACAACTGTAGACTCGAAGACCATCTTTTAATCTAAGTAAATACTGGGCACAACTGGCCAACCGTAGACTCAAAGACCATCTTTTAATCTAAGTAAATACTGGGCACAACTGGCCAACCGTAGACTCAAAGACCATCTTTTAATCTAAGTAAATACTGGGCACAACTGGCCAAATGTAGACTCAAAGACAAACTTTTAATCTAAGTAAATACTGGGCACAACTGTAGACTCGAAGACCATCTTTTAATCTAAGTAAATACTGGGCACAACTGGCCAACCGTAGACTCAAAGACCATCTTTTAATCTAAGTAAATACTGGGCACAACTGGCCAACCGTAGACTCAAAGACCATCTTTTAATCTAAGTAAATACTGGGCACAACTGGCCAAATGTAGACTCAAAGACCATCTTTTAATCTAAGTAAATACTGGGCACAACTGGCCAAATGTAGACTCAAAGACAATCTTTTAATCTAAGTAAATAATGGGCACAACTGGTCAACTGTAGACTCAAAGATCATCTTTTAATCTAAGTAAATACTGGGCACAACTGGCCAACTGTAGACTCAAAGATCAGCCGAACCAAATAGGTACAAACAGATCTGTGCCCACATGGAGAAGGTATAACAGTCCAGTGTGGGGAGATAACAGTCCAGTGAGGGGAGATAACAGTCTAGTGGGGGGAGATAAGTCCAGTGAGGGAAGATAACAGTCCAGTGGTGGGAGATAACAGTCCAGTGAGGGGAGATAACAGTCCAGTGAGGGGAGATAACAGTCCAGTGGGGGGAGATAACAGTTCAGTGTCTAGACCTGGTTGTGACTGTACAGTGTTTAGACCTGGTTGTGACTGTACAGCGCCTAGACCTGGTTGTGACTGTACAGCGTCTAGACCTGGTTGTGACTGTACAGCGTCTAGACCTGGTTGTGACTGTACAGTGTTTAAACCTGGTTGTGACTGTACAGTGTTTAGACCTGGTTGTGACTGTACAGTGTCTAGGCCTGGTTATGACTGTACAGTGTTTAGACCTGGTTATGACTGTACAGTGTTTAGACATGGTTATGACTGTACAGTGTTTAGAACTGGTTATGACTGTACAGTGTTTAAACCTGGTTGTGACTGTATAGTGTCTAGACCTGGTTGTGACTGTACAGTGTTAAGGAACTGGTTATGACTGTACAGTGTTTAGAACTGGTTATGACTGTACAGTGTTTAAACCTGGTTGTGACTGTATAGTGTCTAGACCTGGTTGTGACTGTACAGTGTCTAGACCTGGTTGTGACTGTACAGCATCTAGACCTGGTTGTGACTGTACAGTGTCTAGACCTGGTTGTGACTGTACAGTGTTTAAACCTGGTTGTGACTGTACAGTGTTTAAAACTGGTTGTGACTGTACAGTGTCTAGACCTGGTTGTGACTGTACAGTGTTTAGACCTGGTTGTGACTGTACAGTGTCTAGACCTGGTTGTGACTGTATAGTGTCTAGACCTGGTTATGACTGTACAGTGTCTAGACCTGGTTGTGACTGTACAGTGTCTAGACCTGGTTGTGACTGTATAGTGTCTAGACCTGGTTGTGACTGTATAGTGTCTAGACCTGGTTGTGACTGTATAGTGTCTAGACCTGGTTGTGACTGTACAGTGTCTAGACCTGGTTGTGACTGTATAGTGTCTAGACCTGGTTGTGACTGTACAGTGTCTAGACCTGGTTGTGACTGTATAGTGTCTAGACCTGGTTGTGACTGTACAGTGTCTAGACCTGGTTGTGACTGTATAGTGTCTAGACCTGGTTGTGACTGTATAGTGTCTAGACCTGGTTGTGACTGTATAGTGTCTAGACCTGGTTGTGACTGTACAGTGTCTAGACCTGGTTATGACTGTACAGTGTTTAAACCTGGTTGTGACTGTATAGTGTCTAGACCTGGTTGTGACTGTATAGTGTCTAGACCTGGTTGTGACTGTACAGTGTCTAGACCTGGTTGTGACTGTTGCCAACAAGCAAGATTTGTCTGTTAATGAAGGGAAGCGTAGAGGATAAAGACATCAAGAGGTAGACAGTGAAAATTTGGGAGGACACATGAACCCATAACTATGTTAAATGAGTATCTGAAAGCAATACAGAAGTCTTACATTTACCACAGTGTCAACTTAAATGTCACTGACATCCATAAAATCCTTCTAATATGACATGCTCTTGACATCAGCAAAATCGTCACAACAACAAAAGCCAAGATAGCAGCAGTCATCAACAAGTGACATCACAAAAATCGGAACTGTACCAGCGATGGATTCACTTCTGTTTTGTCCTTGATTTTGGGGCGGAACTTTTGTTTTGGACTTGTCAGCAGACGCGAGGAGCTTTTCCGCTTAGAGGTCCATGGGGGCAATATGTCCTTTGAAACTGTTTTTGTGTTTTTTGCTGTGGAGTCTTTGTGAGGGCTGTCACCCTGCGTCACAAGTTTAGGGGACTCACCCCCAGTTGTCACTGACGGTCCACTCAACAACTTTTTGAACACTGCTGTGTTTTGCTTACATTTAACTGACAGTTCACTGTTCTGTTGGTATTTTACTGATGGCTTTCTCGATATCGCAATCTTCTGCTGAATTTGTTTCACTGACGGCTTTCTCAACACCGCAGCTTGCTGATCGGATTTGACTGGCAGTTCACTGTTTGGTTGAGATTTGACTGTTAGTTGACTGTTGTGTGGAGATTTGACTGTTAGATGACTGTTGTGTTGAGATTTGACTGATGGCTGTTTCACAGCTGTTGTTTCTTGTGGAGTTTTTGGCTGTGGCTTTGAGAGTTGAGCTTGTGTGTCTTCTGCGACAAACCTCTTGACAAACTGGGCCACGGACATGGTGTCCTCTTCCAGCTGCCTCCTACATCGCTTCTTCAGTCTGTTCAACGAATCTCCTGTGCTGTACTTCTTCAACGCTTTTACTGGATGTGAGGACTGACTCTCTTCCACATCGTCTGCTTCACCTGCAGAATCTGTCGCACCAGTCCCCGGAATGACATGTGTGTCTGAACCGGTCCCAGGAATGACATGTGTGTCTGATGTCTGTTTTAGTGAGGTCTGTGTGACAGATATGTTAGGTGTGATTTGTGTGGCAGGTCTGGTGGCTGAAGTTTGTGCAGCACATTTGTCAATGACGCTTTTACGAACTATCTGAGACTTTATTACTGCAGGTTTTCCAACCTCTTTTCCCACAACAATTTCAGTCAGGGTCACTGAATCACTCCCGACACGTTTTTTTCTGACTCTTTTATTATTCAGCATGTCTGGTGTTTGGAAAGTAGCTGCCTCTATTTCTGACAGGTCTTGTCTGGGCTTGGGTGTGAACTGTTGAACAGTCTGCGAAAGATTGCTAGAATCCAACACTGCAAAGGGTATCTGTGTTCTGTAAGCTGTTGGATCAACCCTGCTGGATGTGGTCTGTAGGACTGAGTGCAATCTTCCTGTAGGAAAGACCACGAGCTCAAACCTGGCTTTCTTCCCCCCTGAGTTGCTCGTATCATCTGCGCAGAAAGTCCTTTTAAGCTCCCCAGCTACCTCAGGGTTTTCACTGCGGTCACATTTACGAGGCCTTCCTCTTCTTGTTGGTGGTGTCTGGCTGTTTATTGCATCATGCCTTGGGTTCCCCAGCTGTTCTGCTGTATCCTGTCCTAGGCTTCTGGGCTGTTCTGCTGTATCCTGTCCTAGGCTTCTGGGCTGTTCTGCCCCTTTTTCAGTTCTTCTAAATTTGAATGCAACCTTGTTTTTCAAGGCAGAACTATCCTGACTGTGACTAACATCTTGGACCTTGCTCCTGACTGCTGTACTTCCTTGGCCATAGTTCTCCTGGCCAGGATGTTTTTTGTTTTGGGTCTTGCACGACTCTTCCATGAGATCTGAGAACTTTCTGGGCCTTCCCCTCTTTCTTGCAGGTGGATTCAGCTGGGGTGGTTCCTCAGTCCCTGAATTCTGTTCTGCTAGGACTTCTCTTCTGGAGTTTTTGATGCAGTGAGTAGATCTTGTCGTCGGTGACAGCAAGGTTTCACCGTCCTGGTCAATTATCATCGGCATATTCATGATGGACCTCTCCTGCCCAGCACTGCCATGCTCTGATGGCTGCTGTTCCATCAGTCTCTGGGCCCTTAGCTTTGTTTGTTGTCTGGATCCTGTAGTCAGATAACATAGACATGCATAAAACACACTACACATCTCCCTCTATGATGCATATACAACACTACACATCTCCCTCCATGATTTACATGCAACACTACACATCTCCCTCCATGATTTACATGCAACACTACACACTTACCTGCATGATGTAGATAGAACACTACACATCTCGCTCTATGATCTACACAGAAAACTATAAATTTTCCTCCATGATGAACATACAACACTACAAATCTCGCTCTGTGATGTACATACAACACTACACATCTCCCCCCATGAAGTACATACACCACTACATATCTCCCCCCATGATGTACATTCAACACTACACATCTCCCTCCATGGGGTACACACAACACTACACATCTCCCTCCATAATGTGCATACAACACTTCACATCTCCCTTTATGAGGTACATACAACACTACACATCTCCCTCCATGAGATACATACAACACTACACATCTCCCTCCATGAGGTACATACAACACTACACATCTCCCGCCCTGAGGTACAAACAACACTTCACATCTCCCTTTATGAGGTACATACAAAACTACACATCTCCCTCCATACGGTACATACAACACTACACATATCCCTCCATAAGGTACATACAACACTACACATCTCCCTCCATAAGGTACATAAACACTACACATCTCCCTCCATAAGGTACATACAACACTACACATCTCCCTCCATGAGATACATACAACACTACACATCTCCCTCCATGAGACACATACAACACTACACATCTCCCTCCATGAGATACATACAACACTACACATCTCCCTCCATGAGATACATACAACACTACACATCTCCCTCCATGAGGTACATACAACACTACACATCTCCCTCCATAAGGTACATACAACACTACACATCGCCCTCCATGAGATACATACAACACTACACATCTCTTTCCATGAGGTACAAATAACACAACACATCTCCCCCCATGATGTACACACAACACTACACATCTCCCTCCATGATGTGCATACAACACTACACAACTCCCTCCATGAGGTACATACAACACTACACATCTCCCTTCATGATGTGCATAAAATACTACACATCTCCCTCCATGATGTACATACAACACTACACCTCCCTCCATGAGGTACACACAACACTACACATGTCCCTCCATGAGGTACACACAACACTACACATGTCCCTCCATGAGGTACATACAACACTACACATGTCCTTTCATGAGGTTCATACAACACTACACATGTCCCTCCATGAGGTACATACAACACTACACATGTCCCTCCATGAGGTACATACAACACTACACATGTCCCTCCATGAGGTACACACAACACTACACATGTCCCTCCATAAGGTACATACAACACTACACATGTCCCTCCATGAGGTACATACAACACTACACATGTCCCTCCGTGAGGTACATACAACACTACACATGTCCCTCCATGAGGTACATACAACACTACACATGTCCCTCCATAAGGTACATACAACACTACACATGTCCCTCCATGAGGTACACACAACACTACACATGTCCCCCCATGAGGTACACACAACACTACACATGTCCCTCCATAAGGTACATACAACACTACACATGTCCCTCCATGAGATACATACAACACTACACATGTCCCCCCATGAGGTACACACAACACTACACATGTCTCTCCATGAGGTACATACAACACTACACATGTCCCCCCATAAGGTACACACAACACTACACATGTCCCCCCATGAGGTACAAACAACACTACACATGTCTCTCCATGAGGTACACACAACACTACACATGTCCCCCCATAAGGTACACACAACACTACACATGTCCCTCCATGAGGTACATACAACACTACACATGTCCCCCCATGAGGTACATACAACACTACACATGTCCCCCCATAAGGTACACACAACACTACACATGTCCCCCCATGAGGTACAAACAACACTACACATGTCCCTCCATGAGGTACAAACTACACTACACATGTCCCTCCATGAGGTACAAACTACACTACACATCTCCCTCCATGATGTGCATACAACACTACACATCTCCCTCCATGATGTGCATACAACACTACACATCTCCCTCCATGATGTGCATACAACACTACACATCTCCCTTGATAAGGTACAGCTCCCTTCATGATGTGCATAAAATACTACACATCTCCCTCCATGATGTACATACAACACTACACCTCCCTCCATGAGGTACACACAACACTACACATGTCCCCCCATGAGGTACATACAACACTACACATGTCCCCCCATGAGGTACATACAACACTACACATCTCCTTTCATGAGGTTCATACAACACTACACATGTCCCTCCATGAGGTACATACAACACTACACATCTCCCCCCATGAGGTTCCCTACCTGGAACCCAGGACCTCTAGCACTCGAGGTGGACATCATGCCTGGAGACCAGGCAGCCCCTCAATACATGGTGGTACCAGTTATCAGCACAGGCTGCTCATGCTCACTCAGGCAGCAAGGAAGGCCTGTTCCAGCAAGAACAGTGCAGACCTGCAGGTGACCTACATCACATTAATGTTTTGCTGCCTCAGAAGGTCAGATTATTTTTGTGACCCTTCACCCCCTGAGGTCAATTCCAGGCTTTGACCTTTCAAGCTGACAGCAAGAAAACTCACTTGTGGCTGGGCTGGGTCTGTGTGAGGGAAGGTAATCTTGGTCTCTGTCATCATCAGCATCGCTGGTGTTAGAGATTTGTTGGGGCTCAGAGCTGCAGGCAGGCCTCTGTGTGCTGCTGGTGTTTGCTGGCAACTGCTTGTCTGTGTGCGCCACATGGCTGGATTCTCCTGAACCTGCAGACGTGACAAGAGATATGAGACAGACATAACACCGACATAACATGATAGAGCCAGGAGACACACATAACAGAGTTATGAGACAGACATAACACAGACATAACATGATAGAGCCAGGAGACACATGTGATGTATGATATTCTTATGTGTGTCTCTGGTGTGGGGTGAGATATTCTTGTGTGTGTGTCTCTGTTGTGGGGTGAGATATTCTTGTGTGTCTCCGGTGTGAGGTGAGATATTCTTCTGTGTGTCTCTGGTGTGGGGTGAGATATTCTTGTATCTGTCTCTGGTGTGAGGTGAGATATTCTTGTGTGTGTCTCTGGTGTGGGGTGAGATATTCTTCTGTGTGTCTCTGGTGTTAGGTGAGATATTCTTGTGTGTCTCTGGTGTGGGGTGAGATATTCTTGTGTGTGTCTCTGGTGTGGGGTGAGATATTCTTGTGTGTCTCTGGTGTGGGGTGAGATATTCTTGTGTGTGTCTCTGGTGTGGGGTGAGATATTCTTCTGTGTGTGTCTCTGGTGTGGGGTGAGATATTCTTCTGTGTCTCTGGTGTGGGGTGAGATATTCTTGTGTGTGTCTCTGGTGTGAGGTGAGATATTCTTGTGTGTGTCTCTGGTGTGAGGTGAGATATTCTTCTGTGTGTCTCTGGTGTTAGGTGAGATATTCTTGTGTGTCTCTCTGGTGTGTGGTGAGATATTCTTATGTGTGTCTCTGGTGTGAGGTGAGATATTCTTGTGTGTGTCTCTGTTGTGGGGTGAGATATTCTTGTGTGTGTCTCTGTTGTAGGGTGAGATATTCTTGTGTGTGGCTCTGGTGTTAGGTGAGATATTCTTGTGTGTGTCTCTGGTGTGAGGTGAGATATTCTTGTGTGTGTCTCTATTGTGGGGTGAGATATTCTTCTGTGTGTCTCTGGTGTTAGGTGAGATATTCTTGGGTGTGTGTGTGTTTTTTGCTGGCACAGAATGAGGCGCGCGCACGTGCGTGTGTGTGCCTGCACGTGTGTGTGTGTTTGTTGCTGGTGCAGAGAGATGTATGTATGTGTGTGTCAGACAGTATTTCTAAACAAACAGACTATAAACGGTGTACCTGATATTGCCAGTTTAGCTGGACTTGTGGACAAGGAGTTGACTGCCAAGTAACCCTGCCTTGTTTTTGTCCGTGACTTTGGCTGACTGTACGCCTGAGACTTGAGCATCTGGCGTCTGCTGCCAGTTGTCTCCACCTTATAGAGATAAAGATCATCACTAGAGAAAGAAGTGTACAGACTAGCAACATACACACACACACGCACACACACAATGTACTTTATCCACCTTACAGAGATAAACATTGTTATTAGAGAAAGAAGTGTACAGACTAGCAACATACACACACACACACACACAATGTACTTTATCCACCTTACAGAGATAAACATTGTTATTAGAGAAAGAAGTGTACAGACTAGCAACATACACACACACACACATAATGTACTTTATCCACCTTATAGAGATAAACATTGTTATTAGAGAAAGAAGTGTACAGACTAGCAACATACACACACACACACAATGTACTTTATCCACCTTACAGAGATAAACATTGTTATTAGAGAAAGAAGTGTACAGACTAGCAACATACACACACACACACAATGTACTTTATCCAACTTACAGAGATAAACATTGTTATTAGAGAAAGAAATGTACAGACTAGCAACACCCACAATGTACTTTATCCACCTTACAGAGATAAACATTGTTATTAGAGAAAGAAGTGTACAGACTAGCAACATACACACACACACAAAATGTACTTTATCCACCTTACAGAGATAAACATTGTTATTAGAGAAAGAAGTGTGCAGACTAGCAACACCCACAATGTACTTTATCCACCTTACAGAGAGATAAACATTGTTATTAGAGAAAGAAGTGTGCAGACTAGCAACACCCACAATGTACTTTATCCACCTTACATAGATAAACATTGTTATTAGAGAAAGAAGTGTACAGACTAGCAACATACACACACACACAATGTACTTTATCCACCTTACAGAGATAAACATTGTTATTAAAGAAAGAAGTGTGCAGACTTGCAACACACACGACCCCCCTCCCACCCACCATACACACACAGACAATGTACACTCTCCACCTTACAGAGATAAACACTGTCACAAGAGAAATAAGTGTACACACAAAGAATGTACAAGATAGCTGAAGAAGGAAGTAGCTTACCTCAACCCCCCTCCCCCCCCCCTTCTCTCTCTCTCTTATACAGAATGTTCAAGACAGCTAGAGAAAGGAATAAAATGAACAAGACAGCTAGAGAAAGGAATAAAATGAACAAGACAGCTAGAGATAAAAATAGCTCGGGCTCTGTAAGACAGACAAGAGAACATTCAACAGAACTATCAAAGGCAGTAGCAGTACAGATGAACACTGTTGTTGCAGAAGATAACAAAACTGGAACTATAAACATATCATCACAAATCAGAGATCACAACACGCCAGTGACTTACACAAACATATCAGCAACAAACACACACACACAAACATACCACACTGCATGCACCAGGAACACACACACACATCCACATGAATGTCTCACCTCACACCAGAGACACACAAGAATATCTCACCACACACTAGGGACAAACACACACAAACACAAGAATATCTCACCACACACTAGGGACAAACACACACACACAAGAATATCTCACCACACACTAGGGACAAACACACACAAACACAAGAATATCTCACCACACACTAGGGACAAACACAAACAAACACAAGAATATCTCACCACACACTAGGGACAAACACACACAAACACAAGAATATCTCACCACAAACTAGGGACAAACACACACAAACACAAGAATATCTCACCACACACTAGGGACAAACACACACAAACACAAAAATATCTCACCACACACTAGGGACAAACACACACACAAACACAAGAATATCTTACCACATACTAGGGACAAACACAAGAATATCTCACCACACACTAGGGACAAACACAAACACAAGAATATCTCACCACACACTAGGGACAAAAACACACACAAACACAAGAATATCTCACCACACACTAGGGACAAACACACACACAAACACAAGAATATCTCACCACACACTAGAGAAAAACACACACAAACACAAGAATATCTCACCACACACTAGGGACAAACACACACAAGAATATCTCACCACACACTAGGGTCAAACACACACAAACACATGAATACCTCACCACACACTAGGGACAAACACACAAACACAAGAATATCTCACCACACACTAGGGACAAACACACACAAACACAAGAATATCTCACCACACACTAGGGACAAACACACACACACACACAAGAATATATCATCACACACTAGGGACAAACACACACAAACACAAGAATATCTCACCACACACTAGGGACAAACACATACAAACACAAGAATATCTCACCACACACTGGGGACAAACACACACAAACACAAGAATATCTCACCACACTAGGGACAAACACACACAAACACAAGAATATCTCACCACACACTAGGGACAAACACACACAAACACAAGAATATCTCACCACACACTAGGGACAAACACACACACACAAGAATATCTCACCACACACTAGGGACAAACACACACAAACACAAGAATATCTCACCACACACTAGGGACAAACACACACAAATACAAGAATATCTCACCACACACTAGGGACAAACACACACACACAAGAATATCTCACCACACACTAGGGACAAACACAAGAATATCTCACCACACACTAGGGACAAACACACACAAATACAAGAATATCTCACCACACACTAGGGACAAACACAAGAATATCTCACCACACACTAGGGACAAACACACACAAACACAAGAATATCTCACCACAAACACACACACAAGAATATCTCACCACTGGTTCCTGATCTGTTGTGCCTTCAGGCTTTCGACCCTGGTAAATACAGCATTAAAGTTTAGATCACAGACATTGTCAAACATCAAACAGCAGACTGACACACAAATATTCAAATGTTTAGATCACAGACATTGTCAAACATCAAACAGCAGACTGACACACAAACATTCAAATGTTTAGATCACAGACATTGTCAAACATCAAACAGCAGACTGACACACAAACATTCAAATGTTTAGATCACAGACATTGTCAAACATCAAACAGCAGACTGACACACAAACATTCAAATGTTTAGATCACAGACATTGTCAAACATCAAACAGCAGACTGACACACAAACATTCAAATGGTTAGATCACAGACATTGTCAAACATCAAACAGCAGACTGACACACAAATATTCAAATGTTTTGATTATAGACATTTTCAAACATCAAACACTAGATATTAATCCTTCCCACTGTTACTTCAAAAATAAGATAATTTCTTCGGGTACCCCTCTTATTAAACTGCACATATAACATACTTTTCTCATCCTGTCCCACTGTTACTTCAAATATAACACAAATGTCTTCCCACATCCAGTCCCACTGTTACTTCACATATTACATGTCTTTCATCATCCAGTCCTTCTGTCACTTCACATATAACACAAATGTCTTCTCTCATCCAGTCCCACTGTTACTTCACATATAACATACATGTCTTCTCTCATCCAGTCCTACTGTTACTTCACATATAACATACATGTCTTCTCTCATCCAGTCCTATTGTTACTTCATATATAAAATACATGTCTTCCCTCATCCAGTCCTATTGTTACTTCACATGTAAAATACATGTCTTCTCTCATCCAGTCCTATTGTTACTTCACATGTAAAATACATGTCTTCACTCATCCAGTCCTATTGTTACTTCACATATAAAATACAAGTCTTCCCTCATCCAGTCCTATTGTTACTTCACATATAACATACATGTCTTCCCTCATCCAGTCCTATTGTTACTTCACATATAACACACATCTTCTCTCATGCAGTCCCACTGTTACTTCACATATAACACAAATGTCTTCTCTCATCCAGTCCTATTGTTATTTCAAACAAAAAATACATGTCTTCCCTCATCCAGTCCTATTGTTACTTCATATATGACATACATGTCTTCTCTCATCCAGTCCTATTGTTACTTCACATATAACACACATGTCTTTCCTTATCCATTCCTATTGTTACTTCACATATTACATGCTCATCTTCTCTCATCCATTTCCATTGTTACTTTACATATAACAGACATGTCTTTCCTTATCCATTCCTATTGTTACTTCACATATTACATGCTCATCTTCTCTCATCCAGTTCCATTGTTACTTTATATATAACAGACATGTCCTTCCATATCCATTCATATTGTTTCTTCATATATTACTTGCTCATCTTCTCTCAACCAGTTCCATTGTTACTTCACATATAACAGACATGTCTTTCCTCATCCATTCATATTGTTACTTCACATATTACATGCTCATCTTCTCTTATCCAGTTCCATTGTTACTTTACATATAACAGAGATGTCTTTTGTCATCCATTCATATTTTTACTTCACATATTACGTGCACGTCTTCTCTCATCCAGTTCCATTCTTACTTTACATATAACAGACATGTCTTTCCTCATCCATTCTTATTGTTACTACATATATTACATACATGTCTTCTCTCATCCAGTTCTATTGTTACTTTACATATTACATGCACGTCTTCTCTCATTTAGTTCCATTGTTACTTCACATATAACAGACATGTCTTTCCTCATTCATTCATATTGTTACTTGACATATTACATGCACGTCTTCTCTCACCCAGTTCCATTGTTACTTTACACATAACAGACATGTCTTTCCTCATCCATTCCTATTGTTACTTTACATATAACAGACATGTCTTTCATTATCCATTCCTATCGTTACTTTACATATAACAGACATGTCTTTCCTCATCCTGTCCCACTGTTACTTCACATATTACATTCAAGTGTTCCTCTAACCCATCCCACTGTTACTTCACATATAACATTCAAGTGTTCCTCTAACCTGTCCCACTGTTACTTCACATATAACATTCAAGTCTTCCTCTAACATGTCCCACTGTTACTTCACATATAACATTGAAGTCTTTCTCTAACCTGTCCTACTGTTACTTCACATATAACATTCAAGTCTTCCTCTAACATGTCCCACTGTTACTTCACATATAACATTCAAGTCTTTCTCTAACCGGTCCCACTTTTTCTTCACATATAACATTCAAGTCTTCCTCTAACCCATCCCACTGTTACTTCACATATAACATTTAAGTCTTCCTCTAACATGTCCCACTGTTACTTCACATATAACATTCAAGTCTTCCTCTAACATGTCCCACTGTTACTTCACATATAACATTCAAGTCTTCCTCTAACATGTCCCACTGTTACTTCACATATAACATTCAAGTCTTCCTCTAACGTCCCACTGTTACTTCACATATAACATTGAAGTCTTTCTCTAACCTGTCCTACTGTTACTTCACATATAACATTCAAGTCTTCCTCTAACGTCCCACTGTTACTTCACATATAACATTGAAGTCTTTCTCTAACCTGTCCTACTGTTACTTCACATATAACATTCAAGTCTTCCTCTAACATGTCCCACTGTTACTTCACATATAACATTCAAGTTTTCCTCTAACATGTCCCACTGTTACTTCACATATAACATTCAAGTCTTCCTTCAACCCTTCCTATTGTTTCTTCACATTCAATACACATGTCTTCCTTCAACCCCTTCCACTTTTACTTCACATAAAACATACAAATATTCTCTTATTCTGTCCAATTATTACTTCATGGATAACATACATGTCTTCTCTCATCATGTCCCATTGTTTCTACACAGATCTTCAATGAGAATCAGTGTATCAATAATCTTTCACCTTCAATGAGAATCAGTGTATCAATAATCTTTCACCTTCAATGAGAAACAGTGTATCAATAATCTGTCACCTTCAATGAGAATCAGTGTATCAATAATCTGTCACCTTCAATGAGAATCAGTGTATCAATAATCTTTCACCTTCAATGAGAATCAGTGTATCAATAATCTTTCACCTTCAATGAGAAACAGTGTATCAATATCTGTCACCTTTGATGAGAATCAGTGTTTTAATAATCTCTTATTTTAACTTAAACTAAATGGTCAATGTGATATGTTGAGTTACCTGTCTACCTGGATTGACAACAACAACAACAGTTACCTGTCTACCTGGATCGATAACAACAGTTACCTGTCTACATGGATCGATAACAACAGTTACCTGTCTACCTGGATCGATAACAACAGTTACCTGTCTACCTGGATCGATAACAACAGTTACCTGTCTACATGGATCGATAACAACAGTTACCTGTCTACCTGGATCGATAACAACAGTTACCTGTCTACCTGGATCGATAACAACAGTTACCTGTCTACCTGGATCGATAACAACAACAACAGTTGCCTGTCTACCTGGATCGATAACAACAACAGTTACCTGCCTACCTGGATCGATAACAACAGTTACCTGTCTACCTGGATCGATAACAACAGTTACCTGTCTACATGGATCGATAACAACAACAGTTACCTGTCTACCTGGATCGATAACAACAGTTACCTGTCTACCTGGATCGATAACAACAGTTACCTGTCTACCTGGATCGATAACAACAACAACAGTTACCTGTCTACCTGGATCGATAACAACAACAGTTACCTGCCTACCTGGATCGATAACAACAGTTACCTGTCTACCTGGATCGATAACAACAGTTACCTGTCTACATGGATCGATAACAACAACAGTTACCTGCCTACCTGGATCGATAACAACAGTTACCTGTCTACCTGGATCGATAACAACAGTTACCTGTCTACATGGATCGATAACAACAACAGTAGTTACCTGTCTAGAAAATGAAGAAACTTTCTCTTTGAATGACTGCAGCAATCTGTGAACAAATTAAAACATAATATACTCATAAACATGATGTAATACAGTAGCAACAAGTTGCCAACAAATGTACAGAACACAGAAACCCTCCAAGATGTTATACAACTATCAGTAGGGCAGCCCGTCTCTCTAGCGTAGTTAGCTAAACCGGATTGCACGGTGAGCGGGTGAAGAACTCCTTGTGGTCCGGGTTCACTCCCGGGGTTGGGCAAAAAAGCCACATTTGCTTCCAGATTTACGTATTTAAAATTGAATCAAGGCCGAAAGGTTAGGATATCCATAATACCAAGCCTAAGAGTTAACAACTCATGGCTTCTGGATACTAAAACAAACAAACAATCAGTAGGGCATGATAGCATTGTCAGCCAGCATGTATCATGACAGTGATTACCTCACTAGCTTAATGCTGAGAGAGAGAGAGAGAGAGAGAGAGAGAGAGAGAGAGAGAGAGAGAGAGAGAGAGAGAGAGAGAGAAGAGAGAGAGAGAGAAAGAGAGAGAGATAGAGAGAGAGAGATAGAGAGAGAGAGAGAGACATGCGAGCGAGCGTGAATCAACTGTGTACATCTGCCACCACTGAATCAACTGTGTACATCTGCCACTACTGAATCAGCTGTGTACATCTCTCACTACTGAATCATTTGTGTACATCACCCACTGAGTTCATCTTCCACTACTTATCAACTGTGAACATCTCCAATTACTGAATCACCTTTGTTGATCTCCTACTATTGAATCCCCTTTGTACATCTCTCATTACTTAATAATCTTTGTACATCGTTCATAACTGAATTACATGTTTACACTTCTCATTTCTGAATCATCTGTGTACATCTCTAATTACTGAATCACCTATGTTCATCTCTTAAACATGCACTCATGTACATCTCCTATTACTAAATCACCTATGTTCATCTCACATACATGCACTTATGTACATCTCCTATTACTGAATCACCTATGGTCATCTCTCAAACATGCACTCATGTACATCTCCTATTACTGAATCACCTATGTTCATCTCTCATACATGCACTTTATACATCTCCTATTACTAAATCACCTATGCTCATCTCTTAAACATGCACTCATGTACATCTCCTATTACTAAATCACCTATGTTCATCTCTCATACATGCACTCATGTACATCTCCAATTACTAAATCACCTATGTTCATCTCTCATACATGCACTAATGTACATCTCCTATTACTGAATCACCTATGTTCATCTCTCATACATGCACTCATGTACCTCTCCTATTACTGAATCACCTATGTTCATCTCTCATACATGCACTCATGTACATCTCCTATTACTGAATCACCTATGTTCATCTCTTAAACATGCACTCATGTACATCTCCTATTACTGAATCACCTATGGTCATCTCTCAAACATGCACTCATGTACATCTCCTATTACTAAATCACCTATGTTCATCTCTCATACATGCACTCATGTACATCTCCAATTACTAAATCACCTATGTTCATCTCTCGTACATGCACTCATGTACATCTCCTATTACTGAATCACCTATGTTCATCTCTCATACATGCACTCATGTACCTCTCCTATTACTGAATCACCTATGTTCATCTCTCATACATGCACTCATGTACATCTCCTATTACTGAATCACCTATGTTCATCTCTCATACATGCACTCATGTACATCTCCTATTACTGAATCACCTATGTTCATCTCTCATACATGCACTCATGTACATCTCCTATTACTGAATCACCTATGTTCATCTCTCATACATGCACTCATGTACCTCTCCTATTACTGAATCACCTATGTTCATCTCTCATACATGCACTCATGTACATCTCCTATTACTGAATCACCCTTGTTCATCTTCATTACTGAATGCAGCTGTGTACATGAGAGCACAAAAGTCCAAATGTTGAGGAAACACTTACACAACCACGTCCTCTACCAACTCTGTCAGGGCCACATCCAGAGACTTGTCAGGCCTGATAGCGCTGGGGCCGGCTAGTCCAATCTTCATCTGCTGGTACTGGTCTTGTATGTAGGAGAGTTTCTGCACATACAGACAAGTTTTCTTATTAGGAGAAACATGTGGTGGGAAACTGGAGAGTTTCTTCACACAAAGAAGTTCTCACATCAGAAGAAACGTGTCAGAGACAGGAGAGTTTCTTCATACAGAGTTCTGTGGCCAGGTAAAGAATGTGGAAGAGATGGGAGTTTCTTCACATAGACAAGTTCTCTCATCAGGAAAAATGTTGGAGGAATGGTAGTTTGTCCACACAGAGAAGTTCTCTTAGCAGGAGAAAGAAGCATGTATGGGAGGGGGGTGGGGGGGGGGCGCAGATGGGAGATTCTCTCTACACAGAGAAGTTCTCTCAGCAGGAGAAATGAGGGAGCAAGGCAGTTTCTTCACAAAGAGAAGTTCTCACATCAGAAGAAACGTGTCAGAGACAGGAGAGTTTCTTCATACAGAGTTCTGTGGCCAGGTAAAGAATGTGGAAGAGATGGGAGTTTCTTCACATAGACAAGTTCTCTCATCAGGAAAAATGTTGGAGGGATGGTAGTTTGTCCACACAGAGAAGTTCTCTTAGCAGGAGAAAGAAACATGGGGGGGGGGGGGGGGGGCAGATGGGAGCATCTCTCCACACAGAGAAGTTCTCTCAGCAGGAGAAATGAGGGAGCAAGGCAGTTTCTTCACAGAGAGAAGTTCTCTCATCAGGAGAAATGTGGGGAAGATGGAGAGTTTCTTCAAAGAGAGAAATTCTGTCATTAGGAGAAACAAATGGAAAAGAGTTTGCATACATAGAGGCAACATTAGAAACAAAAGACAGGTGATGTCAGTCACATCCATGGTTACACAACAGTGTTGGCTGTGTATGCATCAAGTGATCATTTAGAACAGTCAACCCAGTTACCTTTCAATTGCTGCATGTCACAGACACTGAGCTCAACAGTTGATGTATATCAGTTAAAACGTGTTAGTCTTCTTCTCCCTGTTCTTCCTGTGGCGGAAAGTTCTGGGTGTATGTCCACCTCCTGACTTTAGCCTTGTTCCAAAACCTGAGTGTTCCATGCCCCAAATTAGCTGATTCCTACGACATGCTTGTCAGGGAGGCAGTGGATCTATTCTTGTTTCCCCCACGAGGCCCGGGAACCCACACAGCGATAATGTGTTAGTTAACAACATATTAATGGTCCCAACAAAACAAAAACAATAAAATGATTTTCCGTCAAAAGTCCTTGCAAACAAAATTTTTTAGTCAAGGGTCTAACAATAAAAGTCAATGGCTCTCACAATAAAGTTATTCAGTCAACAATCTAACCCAAAAAAAAAAACAAGGTATTCAGTCAATGGTCTAACAATGATGGTATTCAGCCAATGGCTCTCACAATAAAGGTATTCAGTCAAAAATCTAAAAAAAACAACAAGGTATTCAGTCAACTGCTCTCACAATACAGGTATGCAGTCAACAATCTAACAAAAAAACAAGGTATTCAGTCAATAGCTCTCGCAATAAAGGTATTCAGTCAACAATCTAACAAAAACAAGGTATTCAGTCAACAATCTAACAAACAAACAAAGGTATTAGTCAATGGTCTAAAAATGATGGTATTCAGTCAATGTTTCTAACAATAAATGTTTTAAGTCAATGGTACTAAAAATAAAGGTATTTAGTCAATGATCTAACAAAAAAGGTATTTAGTCAATGGTTGAACAAAAAAGGTACTCAGTCAACGCTCTAACAATAAAGGTATTCAGTCAATGATCTAACAAAAAAGGTATTCAGTTAATGATCTAACAAAAAAGGTATTCAGTTAATGATCTAACAAAAAAGGTATTCAGTCAATGATCTAACAAAAAAGGTATTCAGTCAATGATCTAACAAAAAGGTATTCAGTCAATGATCTAACAAAAAAGGTATTCAGTCAATGATCCAACAAAAAAGGTATTCAGTCAATGATCCAACAAAAAAGGTATTCAGTCAATGATCTAACAAAAAAGGTATTCAGTCAATGCTCTAACAAAAAAGATATTCAGTCAATGGTCGAACAAAAAAAAATATTCAGTCAATGGTCGAACAAAAAAGGTATTCAGTCAATGGTCGAACAAAAAAGGTATTCAGTCAATGGTCGAACAAAAAAGGTATTCAGTTAATGCTCTAAAAAAGGTATTCAGTCAATGGTCGAACAAAAAAGGTATTCAGTCAATGGTCGAACAAAAAAGGTATTCAGTCAATGGTCGAACAAAAAAGGTATTCAGTCAATGGTCGAACAAAAAAGGTATTCAGTCAATGCTCTAAAAAAAAGGTATTCAGTCAATGCTCTAACACAAAAGGTATTCAGTCAATGGTTTCTGGCTCCTTTGTAAAGAACAAAGAAACCCACAGCTCCTTATTAACACATCATGCAAATCAACTAACTGGGAATGTTTCTTTTGAAGTTAAAGGCACTAAAAGGCAGGGAACCAACAGTCTGCATACAATTATGTTGGATCTATAAAACAGATGTGCACAAACAACTCAAATTCTGGCACAGGACTGAGGTGTAGGAGTGAATGAACAACTAGAACTTTGACAGCTGGTGAAGACAAAGCAGAAGTTCATGCTCAGGTAAAGATGTCTAAAGAAGACTTGTTGTCATTCCACCAGGTTTAATTCCACATGGCTTGGTCTAGCTAGGCACTGGTCGCCCAAGAAAGAGTTTCACCAAGCACAAACTTCACAGCTGCAGCAGCGATAATCTCTACAGGAGTCTCTCACAAGGTGAATGGGAAAACTACTCTTAATTATTGTCATGTCAGAGGTCATTGTGTAAAAGGTCAAAGTTCATCAAAACTCACCTCTAGGGATTCATAATTAAACAGACTGGTGACTGCGGTTTTCTCCTCCTTCAATCGGTCTGCCAAATCATCACCCGTCTCTTCCGTTTCCTTAATGGCAGAATGTATACTCATCTGTGGACATAGAGGTCACTATCTTATAGCCATCTGTGATTCAGGTTATATATTAATGCAGCACTGTTCCGTGCTGTAGGGCTGTTCCTTCTGCAGTATTGTTACCTGCTTCAGGGTCTATAGCCAATTTACCAATCAGAGCACACAAGATTTGTGTCTTGTTCAAGGGTGTACCGAGCACACAAGATTTGTGTCTTGTTCAAGGGTGTACCGAGCACACAAGATACTTCATTGATGCCACACATGTGGGTATACCAGCAGCACAGATAGAGTGTTTGTATTGTGTGTAGACTTGGTGGTAGAGGGCAGCAAACTCAAGTCCTGTCTGTTCTGGACCTGGTACCTAAAAGGGGGAGGGGGAGGGGGGAGATACAAATAGGGAGGAAGACAGATGCTGAGGTAGACTGGGAGAGACAGTGTAAAGATGGCCAGATGAAGGTAGAGAAAAGAAGAGAAAGAGAGAAGGGGAAGGAGGAAAAAATATGACAAAGAGAGCGAGGAATAGAGACATGATGAGGGAGACTGGGGGAGGGACAGCGAAAGACAGAGAGGGAGACAAATTCAGAAAGAAGGAAAGCAGATACAGAGATGGGCAGATAAAGAGAGAAGGAAGAAGGGAAAGAAACAGAAATGGAAAGAGGAAAAATATGACAAAGAGAGTTAAAGGGAGGAAAACAGTGAGAGAGAAGGAACAAGGAGAGAGGGAAATGCAAGCAGACAGAGATTTAGACATATAGGAGAGAGAGAGAGAGAGACAGGGGGACAGTGTATATAGGCAAAGAGAAAGAGAGAACCAAAGAGAGAGAACAAATAAAAAAGGCAGAGCAGGAGAATGGAAGGAAGGTATACAAAGAGGAAGTGATGGAGGGAGGCAAACAGACATGAAGCAAGAGAGAGGGAGAGAGAGATGTGGAAGAAAGGAAGTGACAAACACAAAGAGAGGGGGCAGGGAGGGAGACAAAACAGAGTTGCTAACAAATATAACAACACATCAAAGAAAAAAAAACCACCAGCCTCATGCTGGAACCCCACCCACTCCCCCAACCATAACACAATTTCAAGTGTACTAGACACAACCACTAGGCTAAAACCCCACCCACTCACCCAACCATAACACAATTTCAAGTGTACTGGACACAACCACAAGGCTAAAACCCCACCAACTCCCCCAACCATAACACAATTTCAAGTGTACTGGACACAACCACTAGGCTAAAACCCCACCCACTCACCCAACCATAACATAATTTCAAGTGTACTGGACACAACCACTAGGCTAAAACCCCACCCACTCACCCAACCATAACATAATTTCAAGTGTACTAGACACAACCACTAGGCTAAAACCCCACCCACAACATAATTTCAAGTGTACTGGACACAACCACTAGGCTAAAACCCCACCCACTCCCCCAACCATAACATAATTTCAAGTGTACTAGACACAACCACTAGGCTAAAACCCCACCCACTCACTCAACCATAACATAATTTCAAGTGTACTGGACACAACCACTAGGCTAAAACCCCACCCACTCACCCAACCATAACATAATTTCAAGTGTACTGGACACAACCACTAGGCTAAAACCCCACCCACTCTGACAACCATAACACAATTTCAAGTGTACTGGACACAACCACTAGGCTAAAACCCCACCCACTCCGACAACCATAACATAATTTCAAGTGTACTGGACACAACCACTAAGCTAAAACCCCACCCACTCCAACAACCATAACATAATTTCAAGTGTACTGGACACAACCACTAGGCTAAAACCCCACCCACTCCGACAACCATAACACAATTTCAAGTGTACTGGACACAACCACTAGGCTAAAACCCCACCCACTCTGACAACCATAACATAATTTCAAGTGTACTGGACACAACCACTAGGCTAAAACCCCACCCACTTCCCCAACCATAACATAATTTCAAGTGTACTGGACACAACCACTAGGCTAAAACCCCACCCACTCCGACAACCATAACATAATTTCAAGTGTACTGGACACAACCACTAGGCTAAAACCCCACCCACTCACCCAACCATAACATAATTTGAAGTGTACTCGACACAACCACTAGGCTAAAACCCCACCCACTCCCCCAACCATAACATAATTTCAAGTGTACTGGACACAACCACTAGGCTAAAACCCCACCCACTCACCCAACCATAACATAATTTCAAGTGTACTGGACACAACCACTAGGCTAAAACCCCACCCACTCCGACAACCATAACATAATTTCAAGTGTACTGGACTCAACCACTAGGCTAAAACCCCACCCACTCCCCCAACCATAACATAATTTCAAGTGTACTGGACACAAAAACTAGGCTAAAACCCCACCCACTCACCCAACCATAACATAATTTCAAGTGTACTTGACACAACCACTAGGCTAAAACCCCACCCACTCCGACAACCATAACACAATTTCAAGTGTACTGGACACAACCACTAGGCTAAAACCCCACCCACTCCCCCAACCATAACACAATTTCAAGTGTACTGGACACAACCACTAGGCTAAAACCCCACCCACTCCGACAACCATAACATAATTTCAAGTGTACTAGACACAACCACTAGGCTAAAACCCCACCCACTCCGACAACCATAACATAATTTCAAGTGTACTAGACACAACCACTAGGCTAAAACCCCACCCACTCCGACAACCATAACATAATTTCAAGTGTACTGGACACAACCACTAGGCTAAAACCCCACCCACTCCGACAACCATAACACAATTTCAAGTGTACTGGACACAACCACTAGGCTAAAACCCCACCCACTCCGACAACCATAACATAATTTCAAGTGTACTAGACACAACCACTAGGCTAAAACCCCACCCACTCCGACAACCATAACATAATTTCAAGTGTACTAGACACAACCACTAGGCTAAAACCCCACCCACTCCGACAACCATAACATAATTTCAAGTGTACTGGACACAACCACTAGGCTAAAACCCCACCCACTCCGACAACCATAACATAATTTCAAGTGTACTGGACACAACCACTAGGCTAAAACCCCACCCACTCCGACAACCATAACATAATTTCAAGTGTACTGGACACAATCACTAGGCTAAAACCCCACCCACTCCCCCAACCACAACATAATTTCAAGTGTACTGGACACAACCACTAGGCTAAAACCCCACCCACAACATAATTTCAAGTGTACTGGACACAAGCACTAGGCTAAAACCCCACCCACAACACAATTTCAAGTGTACTGGACACAAGCACTGGGAAAAGACAGTTATGGGGCGGGGCAGCAAATGTAGAAAAACTGACAAAAAATTGAGGGGGGGGGGGAGAGAATGAGAGAGAGGAGAGTTAAAGGAAATCTAGACAAAATGAGACAGGATGGAGAGGAAACAAAGAAGAGATGAGACAGGAGAGAGAGCAAGACAGAACAGAGTAAGGAAAGGAAGAGAGGGAGGATGGAAAGATAAAGGAGAAGAGAGGGGTAGAAGAGTGAAAGATCAAAGGAAAGAGAAGGGGTGAGAGAAGAGAATAAAGACATGGTTTGGGGGAGGGGAGAGGGCGGCGGTAAGAACTAGGAAATCTAAGTGAGAAAAACTGTTGCGGTTGCCAAGCTGTCCCAATGTGAATGCAGCGCTGGCTGTGATCCATAAACAAGGCTGCTGATCCCTCCCACCCCATGTGTGTCTGTCCGCTCGCTCAGCGGTTGAATTGCTTACACTTAAAGCTGATTGGACCTGGAAGCCAAGGCCATTTTTGTTTAGGAAACAACAATGGGGTTGTGGGAGTGGGGTCCCTAACCCATGACTTGCAGAAAATAGAACAGGATACCAAGAAAATAGGTCAGGGTACCAGTGGACTTGGGTTTCATTTCTGATTTTCTTATTGCAGAAAGGAGAGGAGAGAGGAGGTGGTTGAGGGTGGTGTAGATGGCTGAGATGGAGAGGGGGGGACAGATCAGATGAGATCAGTGAGAGAGAGAGAGAGAGATAGATAGAGAGAGAGAGAGAGAGACAGAGAGAGAATAAAGATTAAGGGAAGTCAGGACTGAGACAGGGAGAGAAAGAAAGAAGAATGAAATAAGATGAGATATAGAGGGAAGAAGGTAGAAGGAACCCCCCCCCCCCCCCCTACCGCCAGGTGTGTCATTACTGTAGAAGGAACCCCCCACCCCCCCCCCCACCGCCAGGTGTGTCATTACTGTAGAAGGAACACCCCCCTACCGCCAGGTGTGTCATTACTGTAGAAGGAACCTCCCCACCCCCACCCCCTACCGCCAGGTGTGTCATTACTGTAGAAGGAACCCCCCACCCCCCTACCGCCAGGTGTGTCATTACTGTAGAAGAAAAGAAAATGGGGTGGTGGCAAATGTGTTTTCAAAATGACATATATATTTAATATCTGTGTGGGGGAGGGGGGAGTGGTGGACATGAACCTTCTATGCTAACTGAAGGTATGGAGAGAGAGAGAGAGAGAGAGAGAGAGAGAAAGAGAGAGAGAAGAGAGGGAGAGCGGCAAATACAAAGAAAAAGAGAGAGGAAGGCAGTGACAGGCAGTGAGTGAGGGATAGGTGGAAACAAATGCGAGGGGGCAGGCAGGGAGATGGACAGAGATTAGGCCCACTAACAAATTTAAAAAACATCAAAAGACAAAACTGACGTCAAAAGAAAACATCCACCAGGTTCATGATAATCTCCCCCCCCCCCCCCCCCCCCCCCAAATAACACAACTTCCTGTTTACCTGACAGTTATTAGGAAAATAGTTATGAAGCAGCACATTAGGTAAACAAAATATAAAATTTTGGGGGGTGGGGAGAAGAGAGAGATAGGAAAAGAGAGAGTAAAAGGAAAGATAGAGAGAAAGAGAAGATGAAGATCAGAGAAGACGGAGAGAAATAATGCAGGAGAGGGGAAGGAGTGAGCAAGAGGTAGAAAAGTGAAAAATGACAGGTTTCTGACAATCTTATTGCACGTCCCAAAATTCCAGGCTTTTTAAGGTCAGTATGTCTTTTCCAAGGTGAAAACTAAGGTTCAAGGTAGGGGCCACAATTCAAAGGTTAAATTCAAGTTTCCTGGTTGGGGCTTTTAACTCTGCTGCTTGTACCCAACTGTAGTACTGTTCCCTGCTTGTTTCCAGCTGTAGTATTGTTCCATGCTTGTTTCCAGCTGTAGTACCGTTCCCTGCTTGTTTCCAGCTGTAGTATTGTTCCCTGCTTGTTTCCAGCTGTAGTACCATTCCCTGCTTGTTTCCAGCTGTAGTACCGTTCCCTGCTTGTACCCAACTGTAGTACTGTTCCCTGCTTGTTTCCAGCTGTAGTACCGTTCCCTGCTTGTACCCAACTGTAGTACTGTTCCCTGCTTGTTTCCAGCTGTAGTACTGCTTGTACCCAGCTGTAGTACCATTCCCTGCTGGTTTCCAGCTTTAGTACCGTTCCCTGCTTGTACCCAGCTGTAGTACCATTCCCTGCTGGTTTCCAGCTTTAGTACCGTTCCCTGCTTGTACCCAGCTGTAGTACCATTCCCTGCTGGTTTCCAACTGTAGCACTGTTCCAGGCTGTAACACTGTTCCAGGCTGTAACACTGTTCCATGCTTCTTCCCAGCTGTAGCCCCGTTCAAAGCTATAGCCTTGTTCCCATCTGTAGCATTGTTCCCTGCTTGTTCCCAGCCATAGTACTGTTCCCTGTTTGTTAAAGCTGTAGGACTGTTCCCAGCTGCAGCCTACTTTTCAGCTGCAGTACCAGTTGTAAAAATGTTCCAGCTGTAGCCCTGTTCCCAGTTTTAGAAATATTCCTTGGTTCCCAACTGTATAAATGTTCCCAGTTGTAGCACTTCCTGCTTGTGCTTATTTGTGCCACTGTTCCCTGCTTGTTCCTAACAGTAACACTGTTAAAGGCTGTACAGTAGAACCTCGCTTAACGAGCACCTCGTATAACGAGTAATTCGCATAACGAGCAAAACAAATTGTAAAAATAAAAATGACTTGCTTAACGAGCAACGTTTCGCATAACGAGTGGCGAGGATAGGGGAAGTCCCCAATTGTGGGCATGTTACCTCAGTGTTTAGCACTTGTTCCAGTAGCATCGTAGTGTCGCTTGTGATCATACATTTTCTCAAACTTGTGTTATATTTTGATATATGTACGGGAATCCTCCAGGCCTACAAGATGATCTATCTGAAGAATGTAAGTTCATCAAGATCCAGTTTCTGCCTCCCAACACCACTCCGTTACTCCAGCCCATGGACCAGCAAGTTATTTCTAACTTTAAGAAGCTCTACACTAAAGCACTCTTCGATCATTGTTTTCAGGGACTAAGGGGCCAACCTCACTCTCAAAGAGTTTTGGAAAAATCACTTCCACATCATTGCCTGCCTCAAGATGATTGACAAGGCGGGGGAAGGGGTTACCAAGAGAACCCTAACTTCTGCTTAGAAGAAGCTTTGTCTGGAGAGCTTTGTCGATTTGTGACTTTGAGGGGTTCGAGACAGTACCTGTGGAACCTGTAAATGAGATTGTGTCTTTGGCCACAATAATGGGATTGTAGGTGGATGCTTCTTCCCAGCTGTAGCCCCGTTCAAAGCTATAGCCTTGTTCCCATCTGTAGCATTGTTCCCTGCACTGTGGCCAGGACCTGGGAACCAGGGTACAAGTCTATGTGAAAACAAATCCTGGTCTTCACTGTGGCCAGAACCTGGGAACCAGGGTACAAGTCTATGTGAAAACAAATCCTGGCCTTCACTGTGGCCAGAACCTGGGAACCAGGGTACAAGTCTATGTGAAAACAAATCCTGGTCTTTAATGTGGCCAGAACCTGGGAACCAGGGTACAAGTCTATAAGAAAACAAATCCTGGCCTTCACTGTGACCAGAACCTGGGACCTCCAGCATTCGAGGTGGATGCCATACCAAGAGACCATTCAGTTCCCCCTCCCCTTTCCCCCCCAGGTAGGAAATCTGTGGTCAAAGAATTTTACAACAAAATATTCATGTTCTTGCACTGGAACCCACAGAGACAGAGAAATAAAGGGAAAAACAGAAATGAACAGAGTGGAGACTCAGAGACTGCAGTGAAGAGCTGGGGACATGGGACGACAACAGACGATGACCTGGTGCAGTGAGCTGTGAACCTAAGCTCTCCAGGGGGGATAAAGGGCACAAGAAGATTAGTAAATAAAATATCATGTCTTCTAGGGCACCAAAATATGACTTACACACAATATAGTAAGACATATGGGATACTAAAAGAACAGTCTGACTTCTTGCCCACAAACATAAAATCATTTTTTAAAAATGTGGCCTCTTCATTACACAAATATGTTATTTGCTGGAAAACTAGAAGATATTGGGGAAAGAGGCAGCAGCCACAAGCAGACGCAAACACAAACCTCTGAGGGTGTGTAACAAAAGAGGAAAGCTTGTTCCTGCAGCAGCCGCTGAAATACATAAACAACATCCAAGTGGTTCTGCTGTGCTGCCTGTTGCTGGAAGAGCACCGACTCCCGCCACTGGCCTGACGTCAGGCGGATCTGCAGAGTGAAAATATACTTGATCAGTGCATGAGATAAACTTCCCTGGGGCCTGGTCACTGCCATCAAGTCCACAAACAGTCATTATTTTTTCTCTTCTCTGGTCAAGCTACTGACCATTCATTGTGCCGACCGTAAGACAAATATATTGATCCTGTATGCATTATATGCCTGTTATACTCATTTGATAATCCTTGTATACGTTTGTTTTACTTATTTACTATAGTCACTGGTTAATGTGTTTTACTCATTTGCTGATCCTTGTACATGTTACATGTTTTTTATACTCATTTACTCATGTGTTATTCTCATTTGCTGATCCTCCTATGTGTTACATTCACATTACAACCATTTGTTGATTCTCATATGTGTTATATTTATGAAATAACCATTTCCATGTATTATAACAATTGTTTGTATCCCTGTATATGTTACGTGCATATTATAATCACATGATGATCCCAGTATGTGTTACCCACACACAAAAACTACAACTAAAACAACTATAATTAGGGAACTTTTATTTGCTAACGACTGAGCTCTACATTCCAACTCTGAGGCCAGTATGCAACACATCATCAACAGATTCCCGGAAGCCTGTACCAAATATAGTCAACAGATTCACTTATCTATCTCAGAGAGTCAACATCGATGATGAGATCAATGCTAGAATCTCAAAGGCCAGAAGCAGTTTCAGCAGACTTTATATCAGTGTCTGGAACAGAAGTTGTATCTCCCTGCAGCTGCACAAGACTGTTCTGGATGGTGACATCCCTCAGCCATGGTGCATCAGCCTGCCAGTCTGCGGAGGTAGCACAGGCAGAGAAACGCAGGCAGACTAGAAAGAATTGTATTGCTAATCCCACACTTACTGCGGCTTCCATCTGTTGATCGCACTGCTCAAGAACTTTCCGGGCTCACATTGGACTAATCAGCCACCTTCGTACTCATAATCATTGATCATTACTACTTTAGATGAAAAGTGGTCTTCATCACTCATAAAGGACGTGTGTTACGTGTAAGTTATAACCATTTGTTGATCCTTGTATGTGGTTACGTGTAAGTTAACCATTTGTTGATCCTTGTATGTGTTACATGTAAGTTATAACCATTTGTTGATCTTCATATGGATCCAGGTCGGTTAACATCTTCCTCTGACGGATTTAATATAATTTCAATTTTATGTCCCAGCCACAACTAAGATATGATCAGTGCTCAGTTCAAGTCCCAACCACAACTAAGATATGATCAGTGCTCAGTTCAAGTCCCAACCACAACTAAGATATGATCAGTGCTCAGTTCAAGTCCCAACCACAACTAAGACATGATCAGTGCTCAGTTCAAGTCCCAACCACAACTAAGACATGATCAGTGCTCAGTTCAAGTCCCAACCACAACTAAGACATGATCAGTGCTCAGTTCAAGTCCCAACCACAACTAAGACATAATCAGTGCTCAGTTCATGTCCCAACCACAACTAAGACATAATCAGTGCTCAGTTTAAGTCCCAACCACAATTAAGACATGATCAGTGATCAGTTCAAGTCCCAACCACAACTAAGACATGAACAGTGCTCAGTTCAGGTCCCAACCACAACTAAGACATGATCAGTTCAAGTCCCAACCACAATTAAGACATGATCAGTGCTCAGTTCAAGTCCCAACCACAACTAAGACATAATCAGTGCTCAGCTCAGACCCAAACCATCAGTAAAACATTCTCACCTTGACCTTGGGGCTGAGAGGCTGTATTTGGTAAATGGCGTACAAGAGGTAGAGGCCCCCAACCCGAACTTGGAACTGGTAAGGTGGCAGGAAGTACTCCTGGGCAATAAGCAACACTTTCTCCACAAACTGAAAATAGAAATGTTCTTTCACAGCGAAACATCTACACTACAACTGGAGTCAAGGACATAGCTAACAATGATGTACCATCACGACGACCATGTATACAATACATCTGCTCCTGGGGACTGGGGTACCGAGTGTCACCATAAGATCAATCAGTTTGTCACTTCTGATCTGATACCTAAAGACTGACCATATCATCCTGAGATTTAAAGTCTCAATTTGGGCAGATCCCAGATACCCTGTTCAACCTCCAAGAAAAGCTGTAATTAGTGCCCCCTGCCACAGTGACACCAGCCAGGTGTCACCCACAGTCCTGTGTGTGCATGGACAACAGGGGTAGCTAACAGAGAACCAGCCAGGTGTCACCCAGTCCTGTGCCTGCATGGACAACAGGGGTAGCTAACAAAGAAAGCAATTCATAAATGACAACATTATTGTATTAACTCTCGTCATCCCAGAGAGCCATTACTAGAATATGTCATTTTAATTTAATTATCCTCAAAGCTTGGGCACTCTAGAGAAACAATCTTGGCATCATAATGAGTTAACATAACAGTTTAACCAGGATAGAATATAGGAATATAAAATTTGAACCTAACCAGAGACAGTAACAACTGGGAGAGAATATATGAACATAACAGTTTAACTGAACCAGAGACAGTAACAACCGGGACAGAATATATGAACATAACAGTTTAACTGAATCAGAGACAGTAACAACCGGGAGAGAATATATGAACATAACAGTTTAACTGAACCAGAGACAGTAACAACTGGGAGAGAATATATGAACATAACAGTTTAACTGAACCAGAGACAGTAACAACTGGGAGAAAATATATGAACATAACAGTTTAACTGAACCAGAGACAGTAACAACTGGGAGAGAATTTTTGAGACAAAAGGATGGGTGACTTGCGATCCACTCAAATTTAAGGCTGAAATGGCTCAAAACTTGCATTTTACGGCAATATCTATTTTATGTTTTATAATGAATCCCTTACCAACTATAAATAACTGAAACTGGGGCAGAGAGGTCTAACTGTAAATGTATTTCTCAAATACATACCATGGAATACAGACCTAATTAACATATAAATATGGCCGCCAGCTCACTATTTGAGTGTAAGCACGGTATAAATTTGGGATTATCTGTCAATGAGCCGGGTAAGATACAGATCCTACTGTGTAGTCTGAGGGGGAGGGGGAGGGGGGGGGGGGTGGACATTAAGATGGCAAACACATGTAGATATGAGGTAAATTTAGCATTGTTGGATAGGTATTAAAAAAAATGCAGTTCAATGGTACCTCAAGTCTGTATATCAATGCTAAGCTGAGATATTAACTGTTTAAGGTCAGTCATATAAATCTATATTAATAAAAATGTTAATTTTCCGAGTTTGTTAACTTTAGACTCAGACACTACTGAACTGATTGCTTTCAATTTTTCATACAACGTTGCCTTTGACTCAAAGCGTGATTTTTTTACAGAAAATCGCACAAACCAAGACTGGCGTAGCTCTAGCAACGGTCAAATCATTATTTGTTTCGCTGCCGGCCCGGATTTGTTTTTAGTTGATTTCCCATTTTTGACTGCTGAGCTGTTATTGAACTTTGCATTACTATATAAATTCATTTCCACAATCTGCTTGAGTGTTTGGTAGCGTAGTTGAAAAATATTCTGTCTATCATGCGGGTGACCCGGTTCGATTGTCCGCTAGGTGATATAATAATTTTTTTAGCCCTTAACTGGGCTGCTGGCACGATGTTTTGTGGTTTATGGTTAAGCTGCGATGTCTACGCTTTTTTTTAGGTTTTGGGGTTTACAGCTAGCCTGCGATAGCGGCGACGTGATGCTCAGTGGTCATGTCACGGGTAAACTTCGTTCACCCTCAAGAGGGCCGTTGGCACTTTGTGTTGTGGTTTACAGCTAGGCTGCGATGTCTGACCGAAACTCTTCAGTGTTTGATAGTATAGTTGTAAGTATCCCTCCACGCAGATGAGTGTTTCATTCCCCACTGGGTGATAATTGGTTTTTTTCCCTTAAAAGGGTGGTTGCCACGTTGTGTTGTGGTTTACAGCTAGGCTGCGATATCTGCCTATCATGAAGGTGAGTCGGGGTCGATTTCCCACTAGGTGATATAATTTTTTTGGCCCCTAACTGGGTGGCTGGCACGTTGTATTGTGGTGTATGGCTAGGCTGCGATATCTACGCCTTTTTCGGTTTTGGGGTTTACAGCTAGCCTGCGATAGCGGCGACGTGATGCTCAATGGTCATGTCACGGGTAATCTTCGTTCGCCCTTGAGAGGGCCGTTGGCACTTTGTGTTGTGGTTTACAGCTATTCCCCGCTGGGTGATAGTTGTTCTTTTTCCCTTAAAATAGTGGTTGCCACGTTGTGTTGTGGTTTACAGCTAGACTGTGCCTTTCGCCCAAAGACATCCGATTTCAGTAAAATCCCAATTAGCTTTCACGCGACGCTTCACTTGATCAAGAACTATTCAGGGATGACAGAAACTGTTAACTAAGATGACTTAGTTTAGTTTGGGTGGACACGTATGACAAGGTCAGTTAAAAAGCTCCCTTCGGAGAGGGAGAGATGACGTGTGCGGGGTATTTTTCTCTGCTATTTGTTAGTATAGTGTATTTTTTATTGTGGGTACCATCACTGGTTAGGTGATTAAGTTTTTTTTCTTCTATGTCAAGGGCAAAATTAAACTAAACAGTCCGTGGCGACAGCATGCGGCGCTAACTCCTCTGGCTACACCAACCTACACATACTGTAGTGACAGTTTTTGTTGTTGTTGTTGTGATGGTGGTGGCGGTAGTGGCAGCAGTAGTACTGGTACTGGATGGGTGATGTGGTAGCTGTTACACTGACCACATGTACTTCTCAGTACAACTTAATGCTACCCATTTTAGTCTGGGTGGACACGGATGCCAAGCTCAATTTAGTTACAATATTTCATCAGATGATGGCTTTCCCATCCTTCGGAGAGGATGATATGATTAGTGGGGGTGGGGGGGTTTGATGCCAGACACTATTAACTGAGAGAGCTTAAAACATTATTTTAAAGTTCTCATTTCTTAACTATTTTTTTTAAATAATTTCGCCAGGGAAGCTTTTTCAATTCTTCAGGGAGGGAGATATGACTGGGTTGATGGGAGGGGGTGGGGGGGGGGGGGGGATATGACAGACACTGTTAGCTGAGAGCTATTTTCTTTTTTTTCTATTTCACGATTCTGGGCCGCAGCAACGCGTGACCGGGTACAGCTAGTAATTAATAAGAATAAATTACATTTTAGCACCTTCAGATTGTGTACCCAAATACTTGACATGCTGAAACTTCTTTATGATCAATAAAACATCATAGCAACAACATTTCAACATGTTTATGACAATGACATCCAAAAGAAGAAATAATTATTACTTGAATATGTTGTTTTATAATCACATTAATGTTCATAATAGCTGTCCATAAATACAATTAGAGACAGACCCTGTAACAACATGATGAAAAACTTTAACATGGAAACTATATACATGGAACTTTTAGGTAACATTGCTGTTTTAACAATAGATTAAAATAAAGGCATGCACATGCGTGCATGTGTGTATGTGTGTCATTCAATGCCACCAGGGCCTTACAACCAGTGACACAAAGTGCCACCATTCAAATGAGGATCATGTCCAAGAAACCCTGTTCAACCATTAGGTTATATTGGGGCCCCTGACTACAGCCAGGGTGGGGTTTTCAGATACAAATATAATCCCACACTGCAACAGGAATACACATAAACACAAAATTACAAATAATTCTGACATTTGCTGTGAAATGTAAGTTATCAAATGCAGTAAAACTGTACAAACATCCCTTTGGAAATGTAAACAAACAAGAAGTACAGCTAGTCAGTTCAGTCAATCTACTGTAAATCACTTGAGTTGATTTGAAAATAACATTTACTATTATTTGTGTTTACTTAATTTAAAACCATAATTTCTTCAAGACAGTTTAATAGTTACTTCCCTTCTTTAAACGAAACAAATGTTGATCTCCCTTTATGATGGTCAAGGCCGCAAATCCTTTGTTTATTAATTTACGTTCTGTGGACTCTTTAGTTGCAACACTATGTGTATGTCGTTCAAGCTCCCTGTTAGTGAAGCTTTAGTTGCAACACTACATGTACGTTGTTCAAGCTCCCTGTTAGTGAAGCTTTAGTTGCAACACTACATGTATGTTGTTCAAGCTCCCTGTTAGTGAAGCTTTAGTTGCAACACTGTGTGTATGTTGTTCAAGCTCCCTGTTAGTGAAGCTTTGGTTGCAACACTATGTGTATGTCGTTCAAGCTCCCTGTTAGTGAAGCTTTAGTTGCAACACTATGTGTATGTCGTTCAAGCTCCCTGTTAGTGAAGCTTTAGTTGCAACACTATGTGTATGTCGTTCAAGCTCCCTGTTAGTGAAGCTTTGGTTGCAACACTATGTGTATGTCGTTCAAGCTCCCTGTTAGTGAAGCTTTAGTTGCAACACTACATGTACGTTGTTCAAGCTCCCTGTTAGTGAAGCTTTAGTTGCAACACTATGTGTATGTCGTTCAAGCTCCCTGTTAGTGAAGCTTTAGTTGCAACACTATGTGTATGTTGTTCAAGCTCCCTGTTAGTGAAGCTTTAGTTGCAACACTATGTGTATGTCGTTCAAGCTCCCTGTTAGTGAAGCTTTGGTTGCAACACTATGTGTATGTTGTTCAAGCTCCCTGTTAGTGAAGCTTTAGTTGCAACACTACATGTACGTTGTTCAAGCTCCCTGTTAGTGAAGCTTTAGTTGCAACACTATGTGTATGTCGTTCAAGCTCCCTGTTAGTGAAGCTTTAGTTGCAACACTACATGTACGTTGTTCAAGCTCCCTGTTAGTGAAGCTTTAGTTGCAACACTATGTGTATGTCGTTCAAGCTCCCTGTTAGTGAAGCTTTAGTTGCAACACTATGTGTATGTCGTTCAAGCTCCCTGTTAGTGAAGCTTTGGTTGCAACACTATGTGTATGTTGTTCAAGCTCCCTGTTAGTGAAGCTTTAGTTGCAACACTATGTGTATGTTGTTCAAGCTCCCTGTTAGTGAAGCTTTAGTTGCAACACTACATGTACGTTGTTCAAGCTCCCTGTTAGTAATGAATCATGTGTTTCTAGGATGACCACAGTGTTATGTAGATACATCTTGACCAGTAGAGTAAGCCCATTTATGATTGAACGGCGTCATAATATTATGGTGGCCATTAAATATCCAAAAATATCCGAATGGGGCTCAGGCATATCTAAAATACGGACTTTATGCCAAGGAACAAATCGCGACAAAACTAGGATTACTTGACAATATCAACATTGCACACGGTAGTAGCAGACGATAAATACCGACCGTTGACAATTTCGAGCGTTTCTGCAGGCGATAATAGCGACCGTTGACAATTTCTAGACATTACAGATGATGAAAGCGATATTGCGGGTAGACCACGCGCTCCCACGCAGATTAGCTATATTTTTCATCCGGTTGAGGATTTAGCAGCGGTAGACGTCAGACCTGCCGACCTGTATCCTCACACTTTTCGGCATGCGCAAATTGCGATTAAACTTACCGCCAACCACGCGACGCAGATGGTGGCCTAAACTAGGTGCCTGGGACTCACGAGCAAATTAGTTGGAGGAAGTTGCAGGAGATGCGGTAGCTGCTGCTTGTGAGTCTTAGCCCTCTAGTTTAGCCCCCATCTGCGCCACTCGTAGGGGCACGGAGGATATGGTCGGCGGTGAGGCGCAGTCACAGAAACAGGTCCGCAAGTAACATATCGCTGAGACCCTGTTAGAGCATTTGTTTCATTATACGGAGCCGGCAAATTTTTAATAGAACTAAGCCCCGTTCGGTTCGAATATTTTTGGATATTTTATGGCCGCCAAAATATTATGACGCCGTTCAGAGAAGAGCCCATAAGATTACAATTTCTGTTTAGTTTAGATATGAGCCATGATATGTATGATAACTGGATACTGAGACATTGTAATTATAAAATAATTAAATTATATGAAATCAGATATGATCATATTTTCAATTTCTTACTAAAATTGATAGTTAGAAGTTAGATAAGTATACTATACTCATCATATGATTATGAATGATGATCATCGATGCCTGCTTCAAGTCTCTTAACCATAAATGTTTCACTCATGATACCAGGAAAAGTCTATCACGGAAAAATCAAACGCAGGCAAAAAACCAGACCTACCTCCCTGGCTTCGCGGTCGGAGGCCCTGCCTGCACACAGATAGACCATGTTCGTGTCCCGCCAGACTTCCACAAACTGTTCATAGCGCACTGTGTTGTGCTCCAAAAATTTGTTCATGAAACGTTTTAGGTCAGTTCTGACTCCGGTTGTCGGTAAATAATCTAAACCTTCCGGTTTCTTCTTCATGTTTCTTGGAAACAAAAACCGACTACAACAACAAACAGACAATCCACAAATATTCCGATCGTCGAACTGTCGTCTCCCGTTGTCTTCTTGGTTCCGCTCCGACTTTTCCCACCACCGTCAACAGCTTCCGGCCAGCAGTCCACATTCAACGAAACAAATAAACACCCGGCAGTAAAAATTGCAACCACTATCGTCCTGTTTGATTTTTTTTTCTCTGTCCACAGATAACTGGCCCACCTTCAGAGATTTGCACTCATCAGCTCCAGAAACGTTCTCCAGGATTGTCCCACACGCTTGCACTCATCAGCTCCAGAAACGTTCTCCAGGATTGTCCCACACGCTTGCACTCATCAGCTCCAGAAACGTTCTCCAGGATTGTCCCACACGCTTGCACTCATCAGCTCCAGAAACGTTTCTCCAGGATTGTCCCACACGCTTGCACTCATCAGCTCCAGAAACGTTCTCCAGGATTGTCCCACACGCTTGCACTCATCAGCTCCAGAAACGTTCTCCAGGATTGTCCCACACGCTTGCACTCATCAGCTCCAGAAACGTTCTCCAGGATTGTCCCACACGCTTGCACTCATCAGCTCCAGAAACGTTCTCCAGGATTGTCCCACACGCTTGCACTCATCAGCTCCAGAAACGTTCTCCAGGATTGTCCCACACGCTTGCACTCATCAGCTCCAGAAACGTTCTCCAGGATTGTCCCACACGCTTGCACTCATCAGCCCCAGAAACGTTCTCCAGGATTGTCCCACACGCTTGCACTTATCAGCCCCAGAAACGTTCTCCAGGATTGTCCCACACGCTTGCACTCGTGAACGAACCCACATCCTTTAGAGGCTCGGCAAATGGTCTGGACTACTTGACCATATGCATACAGATGAAGACATCGTAGCTACTGCAAGCGACATATTGATCAAAAGGGGCTGACAGACACTTAAGAAAATTTAGAGAAGCAATATGCACCAGGGGATGCACTAGAAAATATCTCAACTACAAGCTATATGCGCCAAGAGTTAAGAAATGACACCATAGCCCTAAGGACATTCCCATAAGTGCTCCGTCCCCATCTTCAGCGGCAAGAACAGAGTTCCGATTCCACCAGTACCAGCCAGCAACAGTCTGACTGTGTATCCGTCTCGTCTATCCCCTGCGTGTTGAGCGTCGGTGAGATCCCGTGGTCACTCAGCGCTGCAGCATTGTCTTCTTGTGACGACCAACTTGTATCTGGGCTCCTGGCTCCTAGAGGCTCCTCACAACGTCTAGCTTGTCGGCCATCAGTTACGATCAACTTGTATCTGGGCTCCTGGCTCCTGGCTCCTCACAACGTCTAGCTTGTCGGCCATCAGTTCACGATCAACTTGTATCTGGGCTCCTGGCTCCTAGAGGCTCCTCACAACGTCTAGCTTGTCGGCCATCAGTTACGATCAACTTGTATCTGGGCTCCTGGCTCCTCACAACGTCTAGCTTGTCGGCCATCAGTTCACGATCAACTTGTATCTGGGCTCCTGGCTCCTAGAGGCTCCTCACAACGTCTAGCTTGTCGGCCATCAGTTCACAATCAGCTTGTATCTTGGCTCTGTTCACTGGCTCCTAGACGCTCCTCACAACGTCTAGCTTGTCGGCCATCAGTTCACGATCAACTTGTGTCTTGGCTCTGTTCACTGGCTCCTAGACGCTCCTCACAACGTCTAGCTTGTCGGCCATCAGTTCACAATCAACTTGTATCTTGGCTCTGTTCACTGGCTCCTAGACGCTCCTCACAACGTCTAGCTTGTCGGCCATCAGTTCACAATCAACTTGTATCTTGGCTCTGTTCACTGGCTCCTAGACGCTCCTCACAACGTCTAGCTTGTCGGCCATCAGTTCACCACCAAGTGCTACAAAACCGGCCAGCCTGTCTGTTCATTTCCCAGACACACCTGGCATACCTGGAGAAAATAAACGAACGAGCAAAATTTATTTTCAAAGGGTCGCAATTTGGGCGTATTCTCATACACACAAGCAACTACATATCTGTTCGTATCCAATCACACACCTATGTACCTACGCTATTACTCTACAGTTCGTTCAACTATACGTTATGTCCTGGGTTTGCCGACGGTGACTAACAGATACAAAGTGGCACAGGTCAAGGCGTACATGTGGGTATCGGCAGACGTTAACCACCCACTGCACAAAGCTATACACGACACAAAAGGAACGCGTCTCAAAAGAGGCCGTTCCTTGGTGGCAAATGCTGAGGATTTAATCCAGCAGGTATGTGACAGACGAGATCAGTCACGGAAAAAAATGGACGAATACACCTGTAGACATGCATGGCATCTCTAAGGTTGTCATCACACTCGGAAGGAACTGCAGGGATCAAATTCCTGCGACCGTTGACACAGAGGTAAGGGCACTGATAGATCAGCATTCAGACCCATAAGACACAATCATCTACACAAATGGATCCGTGAAGCGCGGATCAAGGTCAGCATGGACATACACAGCGCAAAGAATGGGAAAAACAATACATGAGGACAGCGGCGCTTACCAGACAACCACGTTAAGCATGACTATGGAAATAGCCGCTGCTTCTAGAGCTTTAGCATGGGTATACGAGCAAACCGCCACACAGGTAGTAATTGTCTCAGACTCCATGAATATGCTTTAGAAGATAGCAGCAGGTGGTATGCGCTCTGAATGGGTAGAAAGCATTCGAAAATCGCACTTAACCCCCCTCACCTGGATCAAATTGTCTGGTCAGGCGGGTGTAAAGGGAAATGAGCGAGTGGACCAACTGGCAAGTACTGCACTAAGGCATGCGGGAAGAAGCATGGACAGAGCAGATATCGTCAACGCTGTACGAACTGGGCTAGTGGAGAATGAGGAATCCCTGACACTAACACGATTGTGTGACATAGGAGTAAAGCATGGTGAAGCACGTCTATGACGTCTTCGAGGCCAAGTTAGAAGACAATATAACCAGCTTCTCGTGGAAACAATTAGTTTAAGTACTTTTGAGTGGCTGCTGCATCGGAGGACTGAGCACGCATGGAAATGCCCAATGTGCATGACGTCGATTGTGATGACGTAACATAAGTTCGTTCAACATCTCATGAACACACTTGCAAGATATTTTCTCGAAAATTGCCTGTTAGATCGCAACTATTTTTTGCATACCGCCTTAGAATATCCAGGACGCAGAAATAATGGCATTCTTTAGTCCATAGATGCTCAGGAGGCTGAATACCAGCCAATTCCCGTGATCTTTTTGAACCATTGTAAATAAGTGGAATGAACTTGGATGTTTTAGTAAAAATCTGAAAATTTCCGGGTTTTTTGTTGTTGTCAGAGGTGTGTCTTCATAATATATTGATAGGTAAAGTAGATTTATTTGTTGTCATTTATGTTCAGTGGAGTTGAGCTTAGTCAAGAAAGACATCACAACAGTCGGGGCATTCCCATATGCGCTCCGTCTTTATCTTCAGCAGCCTGCGCAGTTCCAATACTAATGGTACCGGACGCAGCCTGATGAAATGTCCATCTTGCTATTCCTCTGAGTGCAATGAGCCGGCCAGACCCTCAGGTCACACCCAGGTGTATCATTCTCTCCAGGCCATGGTAATCTATGTTCATTTCTGACTTCACTGCTTGTTCCCAAAGGGCCTTAACCACATCTGCCTTGTCATGTATCAACTCACCCCCCAGAGGTGCAGATCCAGCCAATCTGTCTGCCTTGTCATGTATCAACTCACCACCCAGAGGTGCAGATCCAGCCAATCTGTCTGCCTTGTCATGTATCAACTCACCACCCAGAGGTGCAGATCCAGCCAATCTGTCTGCCTTGTCATGTATCAACTCACCACCCAGAGGTGCAGATCCAGCCAATCTGTCTGCCTTGTCATGTATCAACTCACCACCCAGAGGTGCAGATCCAGCCAATCTGTCTGCCTTGTCATGTATCAACTCACCACCCAGAGGTGCAGATCCAGCCAATCTGTCTGCCTTGTCATGTATCAACTCACCACCCAGTGGTACAGATCCAGCCAATCTGTCTGCCTTGTCATGTATCAACTCACCACCCAGAGGTGCAGATCCAGCCAATCTGTCTGCCTTGTCATGTATCAACTCACCACCCAGTGGTACAGATCCAGCCAATCTGTCTGCCTTGTCATGTATCAACTCACCACCCAGATGTGCAGATCCAGCCAATCTGTCTGCCTTTTTCAAGTGAAAACATGTCCAAAAATGCAACAGTTAATATTACCCTTCGGCCACCATTAGACCCCACGATGTATCTGAACTACACGGCAAGTTGTATTATGGTTGACACATTTGGATATGGAGATGTATTTGTTACAATTGTAGAAGTACCCAACGGGTTAATGATTTTCAACCGCTCATCAAAACTGGTTTTAATCATTTCGAATCTGATAATCCTAAAAGGTTGATAATTGTCACTGGCTGAACAATTTGTAATTCATCTCGGTGCTAGTACTCGTTTCCCCCCGGAGCATATGTTTAACACTTTCCAGAAATGAATGTCTATTTTTGAGAAGGATTTCTTGAAGTGTCAATACTGCATTGTGATTTTAATGTTAATTTCAGTTCTCGGAGAGTAACCAGTTTATTAGTCTCTAACATTTTTAAGATCTCACGTCTAATGACATCTACATCCAGGTCGTCAACTTTCATTTTCCGTCCTTGCTTGACATAAGTGTACTATGTGTCCTGTTGAATCTCGCGGTTAAATGATGCTCTATCCCGACCAAGCGCCAATCGTGTTCGTTCTCTGAGTCATGAATATAACAATATAAAATGCATTCCCTGAGGAAGTGCTGGTATAGTAAACGGTAGTCATACATACACACACACTCATGAATACACATGTATATACACACAAACCCATTCACTCATGTATACACACATACTCAAGAATACCGACACATGCACTTACACTCATAAATATTCACACACATACAATCATACTTACACCCTTTTACATATTC